TTGTTTATCCTCTCTTTCCCTCTCTTTAGTGTTTTTATTAGAAAATGAAAAACTTCAGTGATTATATGGAAGAACTGTGTCCAGCTGCTCAAACCCACCCAGTTTCTTTTTTTAGCTTCTCCCCCACTTAAAAATAAAAAGCATCAGGTCCCACTTGCCAAGCCTTTGTCACTGTCTCCAGCAGCCGTTCCTCCGGCCCATATGCTCCCCCAGATGCTCAGCCCGTCCCCTCCTCCTGTCTCAGCCCCACGTGCGGGCCCTCCGTGGACAAGTGCGGAGCCCCCGGAGCACAGCCACCTGCAGCCCCACCACACCATCTGCTTCTCACCCCCATGGCCACTCTGAGCATCACTTCTGACCCAGATTCCGTGGACCACACCCCCCACCCCAGGCCCTGGCTTGTTTGCCTGGCCAGTCCTGTGATTTCCAAGGACAGGATGTTGACTGGAAAAGATAGAGGGGTTGCCATGGAGATATGAATAAACACACTTGCAGACACCTCGCAGCAGGAACTGCAAACTTCTGACAGACGTTTAGTTCAGCCCCAGGTTTCCTTTGTTTGGGTTACATGCCTCACCTTTGGAGTTAGTGTCTTAGAGGGAAGTTTAGAGCCGTCGCTAAACTGTTAGTTATAGCATTTCCACACACCAGCCCTTGTTTCTTCTTTCAGAGACAGCGAGCTCACCCCGAGGAATTAGAGGGTACCTGCTCTTGGACCTGAAGAGTGGGTTATAGTGACACTAACATGGAGAGAAACTGCCCCAACCTGTCGCATGAGTTAAGAGTCAGTGCGAGAGCACTGGTCATCCCTGTAGGGGAACAAAGTGGTGCTTTCCAACGTGCTTGGCCTCCCATTCTTCCTTTCTCCTCCAGGTCTCAGGGCTGTGAGGGTGAGGAGGTTGCTACGTCTTGCCTGAACATAACTGGGGACACAGGAGGCTCCCCCTCTCTCAAATGTGATACCAGGTGGTAGTGGCGGGGGGGTGGGGGAGCGAGGGGGCCAAGCACTGGGACACTATAAAAGAACGCTTTCCCTGCCCTGGGGTGCATTTTTCTGGGCCCCAGGGGGAAAGAGGCATGTTTTTGCCATTGCTCCTAATGAGAGAGGAAGGAAGGTTCTGTGCCCCATGGGCCGAGAGAGAAGTTAGCTCTATAATGAAAGTAGAAGAAAACCTTTGACCCTTTCTCAAGAGGGCGCTGTTGACATTTTGGGCAGGACGGTTCTATCCCACACATTGCAGTATGTTTATAATCCCTGGCCCATCAAATGCCACAGTTACCTCCTGCCAATTGTGTTGTCCTTGGGACAACCAAAAATGTCCAGCAAATTTCCAAACATCCCCTGGGGTTTTTTGCTGCCAGAATACTGGATGGCCACAGACTCATCTGTCCTCTGGGAAGAGACCTTGACGAGACCAGGGCTCTTTTTTACCCTCATGTAGTCATGGTAATGAAAATGAAAATCTGTTTACTAATCAGTGCCTTATCTGATCAAGTTGGCAGCTCTTTTCATACCTGACGGACCTTCATTGCGCAATTTTTTTTTTTTTCCCTCCCTATTTGGTTTACAATTCCTCAACCTTTCAAGCACCTGAGCCATGAGGATGGGTGACTAACATGTGAGGCTTGGCCCTGCACATGAACAGCCTGCATCCTAGATGTGAAGGACCACAGGAGTGATGACAGTAATTGCGATAGGACTTCAGAAGAGACAGTGCAAAAGATAGGAAGTGTTTAAAGTGGGAATTTTGGCCCTGTGGCCCTAGGGGCCCAGAAAGTCATATTTATTGACGGAGCTGGCTGGGCCAAGGGAATATACTCTTCCAGCCTTGTCCAGATGGCATTTTTTTTCTCCTGGGAACCCTGAATGTGGTGCTTACCTCTGGAGTTCCTGTAAACCAATGACTGAGGCCAGATGGTTCCGAAGATAGAAAGAAATCCCTGATGTCAAATCTGTCACCTTCTACAATGAGACGAGGGAACCCAAAGAGGAAAGACGAGTTGCAGCCAAGGCTTCCATCCCCTTTGCTATTAATTATTACCCTCCTGTGGATTATCCAGACAGGTCCTCTTTTTCCTTTCTTCTGGCTCATCATTCTGCCTTCCCACTGGTTCACAATGAAGAGACACAGTGTTCTGTCAAGTTTGCTGCGTGTTGGCAAGGCTAATTTTGCCAGTTCAGAGGATGGGGCTCTTAGTTAAAATTGGGTTTTGGGATTTTCTTTATCATCATCTATTTTGTCTTCCACCCACTCACCCCGGGGTGGGGGTCAGATAATCAAGAATTGCCCATGAGCATCTTGATTTCTCCTTAAGTCTTTCTAGCCTATTGATTCCAACAGCCTGTGCCTTTACCATTCTTGTTAATTTTTTAAAAATAAATTAACTATTTCTAAAGATTGACTTGTAGTCGGTCATTTCAAATCTTAGATCTTCCCTCCTGTCTCTGAGATAAGAGGCTCCTTTGTATTTGCTCTTACTCTGACTTCAGTTTTTCCTGAGCAGAAATAGGAATTTATTGAATCATGTAGCTGAGAGAGATACTGGGGTAATCAGAGAATCAAAGGAAGAGCAGTAGAAACCAGGGTCTCAGGTGCTGGAGAGAGGATCCCTGTGCCTCCAGCCCTCACTGTCTGCTGTATCTCTTCCCTTGCTCTGCCTCTTGCCCCCCAGCTTTGCCTCCCCCTGTAGCCCGGCCCTCGCCCTGTACCAGGTAACCCGGCACCACAGCCCCGCTTAGCAACCTAACGCAAACAGTGTTTTCCTCTCTGGTTATCTCTGTGTTGATTATTTAATAATTGTAATCATTTCCCACAAAAGGAGAACCACTTTGAGCTTTAACCAAGCAACGTGCGCTCTTTGTAATCGACATTAAAAAGGGAAAGATCAGTGGGGTCTTTGAACTCCCCTAACAGGATATAAGGTTAGGGAAGACTGATAGGGTTTGAACAGAAGTTCCTCACGTTCCTTAGAAATCAAATGTGTTATCAGTGACCCCTGTACCTGGAGAGAATTATTTGGGCACATTTATGTCAATTACAACAGTTCATATTTTCTTGACTTATTATTGTGGATTTTTCCCCCATCTCCCTGCTTCCTCTCACCCCACCTCCTGAGTCACTGCTAACTGAGTCAGTAACACTCAGAAAGTATCTTCCTCTGCTCGAAAATGCAGAAACGGGCAGATTAATGTCTCCTTATTCTCAGAGGTGAAGAGTGCTGAATTACAATCCTGCTTCATCCCTATTTCTCTTTCAATACCAGTTTTTATGCTGTGTAGTTATCTCTTCTCTGGTCTTGTTTGGCAGCATCGCCTGTGCATGCTTGTGGCCTCTCAGAGGACGGGGAGAGACTAGAGGTCATCTTGTCTGGTGGCCTCTAACCAGGGGCATGTCAGCATCACGTGAGAGCTTTCCAGAACAACCATGTGCAGGCAGACAACTTAGTCACTGCCTGCTACACAGCTTATCCATGAGAAAGCCACACTCTGGCAGTTGGTGGCAGTAAAACCCATGCTCCAAAATGATGCTGGAGGAGAGAGCCATGGATGGGAAGCTATAGGGTAGCAGGTATATCTGAGCCTACAGACCAGACCTGGGACTGGCAGGGGAGAAACGGGGAGGGGATCAGGAATTCATTTCTCTAGGCTTTCAGAGGACACTACCAAGGCTTACAGAGTAGCCACAGATGATCCATAGTAGGGTCACCAGGAATAAGTAAATCTCCTATTTGAGACTCACCCTCTAGCTTAGTCCTTTCTGCTTGTTAATTCAGAACTCTGTTTGTAACAGGAGCACAGCTGAAATCAAGATGCAAGTGACCCCAGAGATGTGCAGGCTTTAGGAAGATATTCAGGAATGATCTCTAGAACCTCTGCTCTCTCTCTTTTCTATGTCTTTTTTGTTCTTTTAAAAAAAATCTTTAAAAATCTTTATTTATTTGGCTGCGTCGGGTCTTTTTGCGGCACGCGGGATCTTTTCGTTGCAGCCCGCGGGCTCTCTAGTTGCAGCGCACGGGCTTAGTTTCCCCACAGCATGTGAGATCTTAGTTCCCCGACCAGGAATACGAACCCATGTCCTCTGCATTGGAAGGTGGATTCTTAACCACTGGACCACCAGGGAAATCCCTCTTTTCTGTGTCTTTGGATTAGGCTGAGGTATTTGTCAGAAAGCTTGGGTTGAGCCGTACCTGGTTCTCATTCTGAATCTGCAGTCCCGAAGGACAATCCCTGTGCACGTACTGATCTCACTCAGTAGGGCACCAGAATGATCAACGCTGAGAAATAAACACTTTGTTTAATTTATGAAATCCCTGAGAAAATATTAAAAGGGGAGGAAAAGTGCAGTGAAGACCTTGGACGGACGAGCAGAAATTTTTATCATCATTACTGGAAAACACCTCTCCAGTTCCTGCATGTTTCAGGCGCTGTGATAAGCTGACATTCTCTGTTGCTGCTACAAGTTCACTCTCGGTGGGGCATGTACCCTGAGCTCTGATTCCAGGAAGGGGGTTGGCTTGTACTGATTCTCCTGAACCCTTTTAATAGGATTCCTTCTAATAGTGGGTCAGATTTATGGGGGTGCTTCCCTGAGTCAAGTTAACTGGCCCAGAAGATCGCCCTGAGCTTGACCTCATTACATAGAGTTGTGCTTGTTATCATGGAGAGGAGCCTAAACAGTTCTTGTACCTGTAGATGTATGTGCAGAAAGCGTGTGGAGACATCTCAGCTAGATCCTAACTAGGTTCCATGCTTGTGTTACACATGTCAGAGGGAAGCCCATTTTGGCAATAGGAAATAGCAACTTGGGAGTGTGTCACTTCATTCCTTAGACCAGAATGAGCATCTTGCAGGAACAGAAGTTTTGAGAGCTGTTTAAATATCAACCTACCTCAGGCTCTGCAGGGAGGCATCCTGAGCTGGTAACGAGAAAGGCTGTGTGATGTCTCAGCCCGATTTTTTCCACCCTTGTGATGAGATGCCTTCTCCCTTTTCCCTATAGGCCCAGTTCCTCTCCCCACAAGCTCGCCGTCGACTCCATGCTGCCCTGGCATCTTGTTCCACCTCCATGCTGATCCTGTCCAACCTGGTGTTTCTTGGGGGCAATCAAGTCGGGAAAATCTACTGGAATAGGATCTTCATACAAGGTAAGTTGCTGTTTTCAGACAATTTCTTGTTTTCCGCATTTGTGCAGCTGGTATCACGTATGTGACGGCGGGGAGGCATTCCTTGCTCTATGCGTGGTGTGTGACCTATAAAAATACCAGCCGGGAGCAAAGTCCTGTGTTTAGCTGTGGTTTTAACTGTTCCCTATTTTGATGTACATTTTATCTGCCGTGTGTGATACTCATCATCAAAATGTACCATCCCAAATCTCCCAAACTCTGTCATTCCCTTCTACTAAGTTACCTCTCCAATTATTGGATTTTTCCTAATCTTCCCTGCTATCTTTAGATCAGCCTTCACTATACTGTAGAGTCTTAACCTTGTTCCACTTACTACCCTGAACGTCCTACCAGGAGAATGTCCTAGAAGCCCCATTGTGCTGCTGCTATGGGCACGGTGCCCGGTTTGCCACACCTCTTTGTTGTGGGTGTTTTTTTTCTGAACACTGGCTTGCCAGAATCAGCAACCAACCTGATGTTTAATGTACATGTGTTTCATGTCATGTATGTCTCCATGTCCACAGCACTGTCACAGCTGCAGCGGGTAAATTGCATTAGTAATTGCATTGCATTAGTAATTGGTCATCATTTATTTACGGTCATCATTTCCTTTGGGCTAGAACTGAGAGTTATATCACGTCCTAAGAGCACTGGGAGAATGGGAACTACTCACAGAGCACATTATTCAGCCAGTTCACTGTGTGTTCAGAGCCAAGGTCCCCTGTTCCGTTTCCCTGACCAGTGACCTGGTTTTGTGTTTTTGGTTTCGGAAGTTTTGCCAAGTGGTAATGGTCATGGCTAGGCTGTTGCCTCTACATCTGGGTCCCCGACAAGCCAGCGATGCTTTGGCTGCAGCTCTTTTCACAACAGAAATAACCCCAACACAGCTGCATGATCCCAGGGTGCCAGGTCATGAATCTAAACTGTGACAGGCTTAGGTGGGCCAGGCTCAAAGGGACCGCGAGAGAGCCCTGTTCTGCTTTCCTCTTGTCACTACAATACCCCTTTGATCTTGCTTTCTGAGAAATGTTTTAGCTGATAGTTCCTGAAAGGACCAGGTACTTTTTTAAGTGGAAGCTGCCCTTTGATAAAGATGGGAGGTGGACTGTCCTGGTGGCGCAGTGGTTAAGAATCTGCCTGCCAATGCAGGACACATGGGTTCGAGACCTGGTCCAGGAAGATCCCACATGCCGCGGAGCAACTAAGCCCGGGTGCCACAACTACTGAGCCTGTGCTCTAGGGCCTGTGAGCCACAGCTACTGAGCCCACGCACCACAACTACTGAAGCCTGTGCGCCTAGAGCCCGTGCTTCGCAACAAGAGAAGCCACTGCAATGAGAAAGCTGTCGACACAACTAGAGAAAGCCCACACGCAGCAACAAAGACCCAACACAGCCAAAAAAAAAAAAAAAAAAAGATGGGAAGTAATGGGGTGCAGAGGACCTAAAGATAAAAGAATCCTCCTTGAAGTGGGCAACACAATGTTGACCTTTCTTGCCTCCTCCCACCATGCCTAGCACAGTGCAAAGAACACGATGACTGGAAAATGCTGACTTGGGCTTTGCTGGTCACATGAGCAAGAAGACTCTAATCTTTGCTTCAGTAAATAAACACAGCGGGTGTTTGCTACTTGTGAGGCACTGAGACGACAAGGGTGGAGAAAGAAGCACAAATGTGGGAGCCAGACATGCAGACGTGTCAACAGAGTCAGGTAATTGCTGTGCCAAAGGCATACGGGATTGCTGGACACCACAGCACAGAGGGCTGGCCTTCCCGTGGAAGATGAACTTCACAGAGAGTATGGAACACTAGCGGCTACGTCAGACCATCCCAAACTCTCAGCAATTTTTCCCCATAGAAGTGTATTCCTCTCACAGTTCAGTGAAGGTCCAGTGGTTTTTTCTAAGCAGTGACTCCAGGACCTAGACTGTTTCTGTTTTGATTCTTCACCTTGTTGTCCCGGCATTATGGAGAAGAGAACACGGAGACAGTGTCACCAGGTACTAAACACCCCCACCAGAAGCAACACTCGGCGTTTCTGCCCACATTCCGTTGGCCAGCACCAGTCATGTGACCACCCTAAATGCAGTTCAGGGAGATGTGGGGAAGCACACAGGTACCGTAGGCTGTGGCACGGCAGGACAGGGCACCATGAGGCAACTGGCTGGAGGCGCCCAGGAGGCAGTTAAAAATGTGACCTGGCATTGGGGAGGAGAATGGGACGGAATGACTGCAAGACAGGGCATGGGCGGTGGGTGAGGCCGTGGGAGTGGATACAGTTCGCCAAGCAGCATGCACAGAGCGAGAAGAGACAGCTGGGAGGTAAAACCTGGCGATGCTGGCATTTAAAGGGGCAGAGGAAAGATAGCAGCTATAAGATGTTCTTTCTGCTTCCCTAAGACATGAAGATCAAAGCGTGATTTGCCCTGCACCCGGTGGAGCTAACATCAGGCACACGGGGGAGCGGGGAGCGGGGGTCTGAAATATCTGGTCTGCTTCTGCTGTGTGGGTCCTATTATGATCTACGACTGGATATACCTGTGTCCTCCTTGGAGCCACGTGCTGGAGTCCCAAGCGAATGATTCTCTGAATATGGAGGGCTCTGGAATCGTTTCTCTCTGGGTTCTGAGGCCAGGGAAGCTCAGCTTAGAAGGCATTTTCTGTGTCAGAGATTCTACACATCAGCCTGGTCCCATCTCAGCTGGTCTGTCCCATGGGTGCCCTCAGTCAGGGAAGGTTTCCTGGGGTTTTGGTGGTTACCTCGTTTGTTCCCCGCTGCGGGTCTTTTATCCCTGAGTGATTGAATTTAGATATCTCTTGGAGGGAAGTGAACCAGATGGTGCCAAATCCACCATCCTTGAGAACTCTGGATTTCTTTTCATAACTAATTTGGTTGACCTGATAGAAGATTAGTATGAATATTCATGTTTTGGTACAAAAAAGTATTAATGAGTTTATAGGCTGCTTCCTCAGCCACTGCTGGGGGTGTCATATTAGCTTTCTAAAATAAAAAAAATCTGAATTCTGAAAATCGTCTGGCTCCAAAGGTTTCAGATAAGGGATTGTTGTGCTGTACCTATAGCTGCTGATGGATGAGCCAGGACTTAGACATCCTGCTTGTCTCTGGCCTTTTCCTTTGGCCACGTGATCAGGAGCTGTTTTTCCAAGACCCATCTCTACACACGGAGGAAAACGCGAAGGAGTGAGCCAGGAGGTCTGACTGTGGGGAACGGGGAGCGGTTAAGCTCAGTCTCTAGATTTCCAGCTTTCATGGGAAGGTAAATCTTCCCCCAAGGGTAACCACCCTTGTCCCTTTGTGCCTTGATGGGATGGGACTTGCAGTGACAGAGAGGAGCTGGTAGCACCACAGACTTCCAAGGTGTCCAAGGAGGACAGGGATTATGGAGGAGATTACCAGTGCCCCACAGTGAATGGGATGTGGATACACACACGCCCTAAAGGACAGCCTCTTTAATCCTTAGGGAGCCTTTTCCCGGTATCACTGGTGTCTCTAGAAGTATCTCACAATTAGCCTGGAGGAGTTGCCTTGTCTCCTTGACTCCAGTTCACTGCTTTAGACATGGATTTGTTTGCTTTAAGCTACAAAGCTTGTTTTAGTAAATATCTAAATATTTACCTTATGTAAATATCTCTATCCTGGTCTCAACGGGGTTGGTGATGTGAGGCTGTAAAACCAGATCCTTCCCTTTCTGCTGTGCACTCTGCCCAGCTGTCCAGAAAAGTGGACGATGCCAGCCACAGGATGGAAATGCTGAGTGGCTTTCTGGGGGTCTGGTGCATGTCACACAGTGTTATCTCTGCTACAGAGATTGGAAAAGTAATGTTCAGTTAATTCAGTGGAGAATAAAGAATCTAGATCTTTGCCTTTAAAAAAGATCCCCCAACTTTTACTATTGAAATTTACGTCAAGCAGCTTGAGGAGTGTGACTGTTTAAGCCTATTATATATGTATTTAAAGGAACTTAGCTGGGTCTAGGGATCTGAGAAGGCTGTGGCTGGGGATTTGGTCCCTAAGCCTGCTCTAAGAGGGACCCTGCTGTGTCATGCTTTGCAGAGGCAAACACAGGTTGCTTCTTACATAACTCTGTGGCTCTGTAAAGGATTTGTTGTTGGAAGGAGCTTTCTCATGTCTGCCTTAAAATCTCGACATTGAAGTGTAAGTTAATTTCTTGAACAAGCAGTTGATGACTGCTCTGTAACTCAAAAATATCAATGCATTATAACTCCAGATCTCCAAATCTGTGTCTTAAGCATCCTTGCAGTGCTCTGTCGTCCTGGGACAGTGGGGAGAAAAGGCAGTCAGTGGGGATGGGTATGCACTGGGAATATATCTGGCCTTGAGAGGGCTGAGAGCTTTACAGTGTTGTTTGGGTGCAGGGTCGTGTTCCTTCTGAAAAGTCCATCTAGTCAACAGAAGGCATGGATTTTGTCAAAAAGGAACCTAATCATTTCCTAAGTGGTAGAGCCCCAGATCCTGCATCTGTTGGAGGTGGTAGAGGCATGGTATCCGTCAACCTTTCTCCTGCCTGACTCCTCTTCTCTCTTACACAAACACACACACATACACACACACACACGTGTTTGTTTTCCCTTCTTCTTGTTGCCTGATCTAGGTTGGCAAACTCCATCTCAACACTTAGCTCCTGACCCTGTGACAAGGCGAGGAGAATTGGGTTGTTTTCCCACCAGATTGCAATGAGAGAGGAGCTAGCAATTTTCTTATGTAGGTCAGAACCTTTACACTCCCCATATTTGCTTGCTATCTCTAGCTGAGAAAGGAGACAGTATATTTTCTCTCTGATTACTAGCTTGTCCAGGCAGTTCAGTCATGTCCTGAGTCAGATGGCTCTGGACAGGCATTTTATTTAAAGCCGAATTGGGGTGTTGCCCTGGAAATTCCTAAAGGCTGTGGTTAAATAGAAACTCATTCCCCTCACATCTCGTTACATTCTTGGGACTAAA